GTACATAGTTCTAGAGGGATTATTTTCAAAGTTACCTTAAAGTAGGACTGAACTAAAAATGTATATATTCAGATAAATAAAATATCTGATTAAAAAGAAACCAAATAGCAGAAAGTTGTTAACTAGTGGCTTAAATTAACTTGTTTTCAAACTATGACTTAATTCAACCTATTTAGATTTCTTTCCACAAATGAAGTAATCCACATATTCTTCGTTTCATAAAGAAAGATATATCCAGTGAGACAGAAATCAGTAAGGGAAGTTAGTCATGCAGAGTCTATTCAAATCATTTTAAGAACCTTCCATTCTTCTTTGAAAAACTTACTTAAATTATGCTTTGAAATAAGGACAAAGCTCTAACTAGTCCATCATAATTTTTACATATGTCATTTCATCCAACACATGAACAAGAAACCACCACCGAGTAGTAGTCCTGTCCAGGCACCACGGCATCCTAATTTTTCTTATATTTTCTGCAAAATACCACCACCTTATGTTAAAGCAGTGATACTGAATAAGTTAAGGGAATAATAGTAACATGAAGGAGTTTTCAAAAACTTGTGGTTACTAGTTTGAATCATGTAAAGAAGGATGAATATTCCTTTAAGAAGTTAAGGGCTGACAGTGTAAAATATACAATTGGTTATATATTACTTAAAAACAAAAAGACTTTAAAGTAAAACACAGTCAGTGTGATTTACGATTTTCTTCACAGATGCTTAAAATAATTTGACCCTATACAATATTCTTGAATTGTACTTATGCAGTGGTTACAAATATTCAAAATCATTTTTAATTACAGAAGTAATGCATGAATACATATATCATCTAAACATTGATATAAGCTAAAATTTCATTTAGCTGTCATCTCAAAATAATTGTTAGGTTTTTGTTGTGAATTATTCTAGATTTAAAAAATTCTTATGTATCTATGTATCCATATAAAATATATAGTCTGATTTTATAGGTTATTATTGATAAAGACTCATTTATTAGGCTAGCATATGTGCACTGAGCATCTACTGTGCATCTTTCTTTGTCCCCTATGCTGGAGACACAGCAGTATATGCACTGATACAAATCTTTCTGATGAAGCATACATGTTAGTGGAAGAGAGACAGCAACTTTGTAGAAGATGTGCAATCTGAAGAATAAGAATAAAACAGAAGAGGAAGCAAATGATGCAGGAAGGTAGGAGAAGCTATATGGCAGTGAGCAAAGACTGGCACGCAGCAAACTAAACGGATTTACCGAACGGTTTAATAAGACTTCTCAAACTGTCTTTGCTCAAGTAGTGAATTGGAAGCAAGTATCACCCTGACTTGCATCTCAACCGGCATCATCCAGGAATTGTCTGCCAGCCCTAGAATTTCTTTGGACAGCCTGAGTAGCACCTAGGTCTTTGCTCTCGGGACTAGAATTAATATTAAACGCTGTATAAAGTCAAACACTTCTTCACTTGAGTCCAGTTCTTCTTCCTCTCTGTCTTCTCCTCCTTTTCTTTCTCTCCCTTTTCTCCCTTTCCCTTTTCTTCTTCTTTTTCTCCTTTTCTTTCAGAGATGCAGTTAGGAAATAGAGTCCAAAAGTGCTGTGCTATTTAAAGGTCATTTGGCTGACAGTTTGGGTAAGAAAGATTCTGATCAGAATCCGGGAAGCAGTCAGCTTGTTTTTCCTTCATCTACTGGGTAAATTATAAACACACACAAAAAAGATTCTAACTACAAGAAGCAATCTGCTGAGAATAATAAAAGAATATATAAGTGACTTTGATCAAAGCTCAAACTGTGATGTATAGTCTATGCCTTTCAAGTTCTGTTATCTGAATAAAGGACTTTAGATGGTTACATTAAAAGATATAGATCGAGTTAAATGCAGTGGAAAGAACAGAGCATAGCAAGACCTAGATGCTCGTCTCAGCAAAGTGGCCTTTCCGCTGAAACTAAATATTAACTATGCCTAATATTTTGATCAGTATGCTGATCTCTAAGGCTCTATTTCCTCATATTTAAAATGAGGTTATTACTGTTCATCCTGCCTACTTTCTTCTTCCTGCATAGAGCTGTTATTAGACTTAAGTCAAATAGAACAAAAAATTCTGAATAGCTTTACCACTTTCTTTAGAAGAATCATCTTTTATGAAATATTAAAATCCCCATCGCCTCATATACTGACTCCAAACCCACAATTATGTAAAGAATAAATAGCTCACATGGATCAATAAAAAACACACCAGCACTGAAGGTCAGATATCTATAACCTCACCGAGAAAAGGAAATGCTGGTGTTCACCACCACTTATGCAATCGCTACAATGTACAAAAATGTGAGAACTATGTATTTAGAATCCTGTACTCAGAGGCTTTATTGCACAGAGTCTGATTAATGTCAAGGTGAAGTGAAGAAATCTCATAAAATCTTTAAGACCTAACAGAATGATGATAAAAGGACCATAGTTATAGTTAAGAAAAGTGAATTTCTAGCTAATATTCAATACAAGTTCACACAGAAAAAGTGACTCCGGTCAATTCTAACATTACTTTTAAAATTATGGAAAAGAAAATCTATTAATTCATGCTAACCATTCAGAGCCAAAAAATGAACACTGACTGCTTAATAGAAATGTACATTGTAATTTAGCAATTTGGGAATCATGCTACAGATACAACAACCATCACTTAGAATGTAACTGTTGCTTTAAGCAGCTACTATTTAATCTTTGTCCTGATTAACCACTCAGAAGAGAGAGAGAGTAACTCTTCCTGAAGCTATCAACACATGTCAAACAAATGCTTTGCTTTTGAAACTAAGGAGTCTGACTTTCCAAGTCAAGAATAAATGATAAAAAAATTATTTTGCTTTCTGATTAGTATAAATGTGAAATGTGAATACGCTTTAGTTCTGTGAAGTCAATGATTTGTCTTGTAAAGTACATGAAACATTACATTTTGGAGAGATTGAAGAAAGCAGTCTTTTCTAACTATTCAAAAAAGCAGTCTTTCGCTGTTCGACATAAGTAAACAAGTTCAGAGAATGAATAAATTTCTTTCTTTCTTTTTTTTTTGTTCTGTTATTTTTGGCTCCTTTTTTTTTCGAGAGAGGGGAAATGAAGTAGTGCAATGAAATGGGGGCTCTCTCCTATTCTTTATTTTGATGCACTTTTACAAAGTCCCAATCTGTGTCTCAATTTACTCTCATCCCCAGCTGCAATTTCAAGTATCCTAGCACATGCAGAAATGTGGAAAGAATGATAGCTGCCAGCGTGCGCCAGTTTGTTCTCCAGTCCTCATGCACATCTGACCCCATACACTACACAAGTGTATCAGAACTGATGGCTAGTCAGGTGTTGTGGTTGCTGCCAGTTCTTTCTTAGGGGAATAATTGTTCCAGACTCCCTCACCTTTTATCTACAACACAAGCTTCTTTTTCAACATTAATTTATTTAAAAAGTCTTATCCATGAGTATTCTTTAACAGAAAAAATATAACAAGAAAATATTAGTGATACTTATTCATGAACCACTACTATCCAAATACTTACTTAAAAATTCCAGTAATGATTCAGTTGAAATGACTTAAGTTATCTACAAGCTTGATAAATAATTCTGCATGTGTCCCCCACATCTTATATCATTGACTTCAGAGTGATTGGTTGACATCATTCTGTGTTAGTAGTTCCTTCTTCCTCCTTTTTTTATTCAATCTTTTGGCATGGATGTGCATCCATGACTACTACAGAGTGTGTAAGCTTCCTCCTTCAGACTGTTATTTAAAGTTCAACTCCATTATTAGTTTAAAAAAAAGAAAGGGGAAAAATATATAGAAAAAGATTGGGTGGCATAGACAATTAAACCATTACTCATCAATGCTAAAAGTCTATGTTCTTAGTTCTTTGTCATAGAGCAATGAGTATGCTAGTGTCAAGCCATTATTCTCAGCCTGTTTGTCTAGACTGGGACACTTTCAGACACATTCGGCAATGCTGAACCTTCTGTTCAAGTCATTTCTGAAGTACATACATACCTTGTTTTTGGTCTCATCAACTATCATCCATTTTCACTTGTAGACAATCTCCCTATCATTTTGAAAATGAGATACCTGTTTTCCACCAATGGTTACATTTTGCCAAAGCCATTAGCCACCACGTACTTTAACACTCTTAGTGGTGTTTAGCTAGAAACTTCCAGTAATTCCTGGTGGCTCAAACTTTATTCTGTTTCCCATTATTCCTCCAATATTACCTTCTCAATTCTTTTTACTTTTTAAATCTCCTTTTCCTAACACTGGTCATAAATGGCATACTGACGTTGTTTAAGGTATTAAACAAAATTCAGGACTGCGCCTTACTGTTTCTGGGGAGTACTTCCTGTGTTATTCTGTCTCATTACTTCCTCCTTTTGGAAGTCCAACTATCCATCCAGGAGGCCCCTGGATTCTGCCAACCAAAAAGATCACTGGACATAATTAAATGTTTCCAATTATGAAGATTTTGCCATTAAATGAGGGTGAAAGGACAGTGACATCTTTGGTGTGTGGTAAATGAGAAACAGGGCAGAGAAACAGAAAGAAAAGGAGCCTAAACTTGACGAGCCTGGAAAGTCTGGGTCTAAAAGACTCTTGTAAGATATCAGCTAGGAGCCAGCGAAACCAGCGTTCTGTCCCTGCAGTTTGGTTTCTCTGGCTTCTACTGCCTTATGGTACTTCAAAAAGCTTAACTGACAACGTTTGAATCTGCGACGTGGGCAAATTGAGCGGGGCTTGACAAACTTCTTGTCAGTACAGGAAAAAGAGCTTCTTGGCTTCCCTCAGTGTTTGCTGTGTGCTGCTGAAACCGGGAAATCAGAAAGACTGATGTGTTTCCAGGGAATACACTTAGTGTCTCGTCTTGCCAAACACATCAAGGCAATTTGTTTTTGCCAGTGAGACTCTGGTGGCTCCCCACAATGACTCAGCTCACTTATTTAAAAACCTAAACTGGTATGTTAGTAGCTTGTAGGTCACTAACCTGCCAGCCTTGTAATTTACACTGCTGGAGGACAAATCGACATCTCTCCTCAGCAGACAGTTTCTTCTTCTCACCGGGGAGCGTATCCACCAACGGCTTATACCTGTGTAAAGCAGCAGGGACACAGAGTGATGACTGAATTCATCAAGCAAATGATTATATTCAACAGATAAAATTTTCCCCTTTCTTTCTTTATTTCACGAGTCCCTTAAATATTCCATCCAGGATGTATTTAACAGGCAACTGAAATAACATTTATCTTTTATATGGAAAATGATTTTTTAAAAAGAGTCAAATATGTGTACAAGTCAAATATGTTTTTTCATCCTTTAACACTATCATGGAGTGATGCAAACCATTTATCAAAAGAAACTTTGAAGAGAAAAAAATTAATCTATTAGTTTTCATTTAAACATTAAGTGCTCTTAAAAAATATACATTTTAAGAAATTCCAGCATTCTTTATTCCCATTTGAGAGTGAATCTAGATGTAGTTAGAATCAATAATAAAGAAATATCAAAACATCCAAAATTCTTATTTAAGTGAGAGGCGAGTAGCTTCCTCCCCATCTATTACATAATTGAGTATTTTAAATCTTTTAGAGAGATGTTTTATTTTATTTTGCAAAATTCCTTCGAATTATTATCTTTCATTTCCTAGCTGAAATTCATGGCAATATAGTTTTCTACAGATTAAAAAAAAAAAAAAAAACTTTCAAAATTACATCACTCATTTGAAAAGTCTATGCAAAATTTCCCTTTGCGCTTAAGGTATTGAACCTAGCATATGACTAAAGCTGCAGTAGGAGGAGGGGGTGGGGAGAGATACAGAAGAACCGAGCAAAGATCTGTGCAACTGCATCCAGTTCAATTGTGTTTATGATTCTCATGTTGGGCTGCTCTGGGAACTTAATACCAAAAGTTAAATCACCTAAGTTTTCTGTAGAATATCTTGGTATTTCATCTAAAGTTTGCTGCAGCTAATTCAGCACCTTCTAAAATTGAGTTTTTTTGTTTCTGTAAGGCAACTAAGGAAGGAAGTACATTGCCTGCACATTTTTATTTACTGTCCTTCCTTGGAGCAAGCAGTGAGGGCACTGGACATGTCCCACTGACAGCCACATCGAATTTACATGCATTTCTTTATTTCTGCCGGTGCTGTAGAGAAATCAGGTGTACAGCATGTGGGGCAGTGCCGCAGCAACTATGGGTCTGGCATGTAACAAAGACTGAGAAAACATACCTATTTCACCTTTTGTGTAGTAGACATTTATTTCCTTTCTTATATTCTTAGCATTGTCACTGAAAATTCAGTATAGATGCTCCTCAACCTACAATAAGGTGTGTTCCAATAAATCCCATAGAAAATTGAAAATGCCTTAAATTGAACATTCATTTAATACACCTAACCTGCGAAATGTCATAGCTTAACCTAGCCTACCTTAAATATGCTCAGAACACTTACATTAGCCTACAGCTGGGCAAAGTCATCAAATACAAAGAATACGTTGTAGAGTTTAGATTGTCTACCCTTGCCATCATGTGGCTGACTGGGAGCTGTGGCTTGCCCAGCATCACAAGAGAAATATCAGGCCTATTGATAGCGTGGGACAAGATCAAAATTCAAATTCTTAAGTCAGTTTCTACTTAACGTGTATTGCTTTGGCACCATCATAAAGTCAAACAATTATAAGTCAGACCACAATAAGTCAGAGACCAACTGTATATTGTTTGTCTTAGATTGAGAATTGTCAGAATCTTCCTAAACAAGAGTCAGACAAAACAAATACATCAACATCGCAACAACTCTTCTTTCTCGTGTATAGATTTTTGCTTATGTGTTAAACTCAGGGTACAAGAGAGTGTAAAAATAGCAAGTAACAGAGACTGAACATGAAATCATAGTGCCAGAGGCACTCATCATTTTGATCACACTGAATGGATTGAAATGATCTGTGGATGACAGAAGTATTCAGTGATTTTTTTTTTTTTTTCCATTTAATAAGAGGCAAGAATGTGATTTCCTACCCAGCAGGCACTAAAGTTGGTATCTTTTTTTACTGGCCATATTGTGACTGCTGCAAAAGAAAAAATGTATTTCAAGGATAGGGCAGAGCAGAGTAAATGGGTCTAATGAAATACGTGTGTGTGGAGGATTGGGAACTGGAAGGAAAGTGTGCAGTGGGGCGGACGCCTACAAGTTTATAGGTATCCCCAATATCAGTGCATCAATGAGCAAACACGAATTTTGTTTTATGATGTTTAAGTGGTGCAAAGGTGACACAGGATATAATTGTATAATGTGTTAGAACAGGAATGAAACAGGATTGGGGATCTAAACACAGCTTCACGCTGCAACTGCGTGGCAAATGTGCTATGAGGCCCTTGGCAAGCCACTTAGTAACTCTCCCCTCTCTCATTACTGCATGTGTGTGTTTCCCGGGATGCAACATAAATTCTACATTGTATTATAAACACTAGTTTAACTCTGGTCTGTCCTCAAAGTATGTGAGCTTCCTTAGGCCATGGTGTCTGCTGGATAGCTTTTGTAAGGAGCAAGTACAAATAAATGATGAGAGGCCTAGACGTCGGGCCAGGGGTGGGAAGTAACATTTTTTAAGCACTGAAGGAGTACAAGGGGCTTTTCATATGTCATTTCACATACTTCTCACAGCTGTAGAAAGTCTGTATGATAATCTTTTGATAATGAGAAAGCTGATGATCACAGAAATTAAGTCATTTGCTCAAGTTCACACAGATGGTATGTGGGTTGAACTGAGTCCCCCCGAAAGATAAGTAAATGTGACCTTATCGGGAATTTCGGTCTTTGCAGATATAATCAAGTTAAGATGAAGTCATTAAGGGTAGGCTCTTATCCAGTATGACTGGTGTACTTATAGGAAGAGGAAAATGACATGTGACAACAGAGGCAGAGATTGGAGTTATGCAGCTGCAAGGCAAGGACACCATAGATTTAGGTTACCATAAGAAGCTAGAAGAGGCAAGGAAGGATTCTATACAAAGGGGCATGGCCCTGCTAACATATTGATTTGGGACTACCGGCCTCTAGAACTGTGAGGGAAGAAGTTTCTGTTCTTTATGCCACGTAGCTTATGGTTCTTTGTTCGGACACCCTGAGCATGCTTACAGAGATGGTAAACGTGGCTGAGCTAGAAATTGAACACAGAGCAATCTGATTCTAGAGGCAATCTCTCCATCACCATTGCTACGGTGTGGACAGAAACTAACAAGCCCCCAGCTGTTAGTTCTGGAATGGAAAAGGAAGAGATCGAGCATGAAAGACTGAAAAGGTAAAACCCAACAGTAGTCATCAGTACACAGGACATGCACAGATAAGAATTTGTGGCTCTCTGACCTCTGGGTGACTGGGCCTCTTCCATAACAGTAAACTAGAACACATAATGAAATACAGACTCATTCAAGTCCTCAGGAAAATCAATGCGTTTCTACCATTTAACCAGAGTTATACAATGAAATGAAATCATTCAAATTATCTTTTTATTCTCCTATAATTATCTCATTCTGGAACTTTGTTAATTATCGCTGAGAATTGAATTGACATAATTCAAGTATCTGAATACAGTATTAAGAAGTCAGAACAAAATTCTTACACTTGGTGCCTTTTTTCTTATTTTATATTGTTCTTTTGACACCTAAAATGGTATAATTCTGACATTTCAACTGAAAAGACAAAGATGTCACTTTAGGCAGGGTAAGGTACTCTTAGTGTAATTAAAAACAACTTGTCTTTTGGAATGAGACTGTCATCTAGGTGATGTCGCTGGTCTATCACTGTGCTAAAACATGATCTCACAGAGACTTCGATCTGAGGCCTAATGGTTATAATGAACATGCAACACTACATGGGGCCTGAGCACAAATGTGGCCAGAGATGGGACTTCTCAGCTCTCATTTCCCACTCCCCCCAGTGGGGGAGTGATCAAAATGAGGTCACTTCAATCCACTGAAGATTCCTGTATTCAGGCTGACACCTGCCCTGCGTCTGAGATAAACCACTGACTGAGAAATAAATATTAACTCTTCTAGCTAATTTACTCTTGTCTCATCCTGACTTGGAATGAGGAGAAAGATTGGGATCTAGTTCCATGTCTAGAATTGGGGTCCTGTGACTCTTTCATTGGGGCTCAATCAACCAACCAAGATTATACTGGGAATGTACTGAGCTTGCAGCAGGGAACAGAATAGACAAAAATACTTATATTTTCTGATGGAGACAGAGAGAAAGAAAATAAAGCAGAAAAAGTTTCACTGTGCGAAAACATCTAAGGATGAGGAAGGAAGCAGTAGCTCTCTGGGTAACAGCCACGCTGAGGATATAGCAGGTCCTGAAGCCCTGGATGGAGTAGCACCTGTCAGTTAGGGGAATATCAAGAAGCTGGGTGTAGCTGGGGCAGAGCGGGGGAGAGGAAATGTGGAGAAGGGTTCGCAAAGGTAAGCACAGCAAGGATGGGAATCATGCAGATGACTGTAAGGACTTGGGCTTTGATGAGAGTGGTGGGGAACAAGGGTTTGAGCAGACGAGCCCCAGCACTTGACATTAAAAGATCACCGAAGCTGCTAGGCTGAGAGTGGGCAGCAGTGGAGCAAGCAGAGAGCTAGGCAGACTATCTGCAGGCTCTTCCCACACACAGCCCAGGATGAAAGTAACAAAAGTGGTAGGGACTGGCTGAACTCTGTCGTAGCTGGAGGCAGACCTAATAGGATTTCTCGATGGGTTGATGTGGATGTGAAGGGGAGAGACGATGAAGCTAAAGTTTTTTGAACTCAGAGATTGAAGGATAGAGCTGATGTTTACTAAGAGGGAGAGCAGTGAATTCCCCGGATGAATGCTGCATAAACAAAAGGGAAAAGGAGGCATTCAAGCGGAACAGGGAGGTAGGTACCAAATGTCAGCCAACACCCCGAACCCGATTTAGTTCCTCAACTGGGTCAGTTTCTCCTCTGAACGTTTCAGTCCTGAAATCCTTTGAAATTCAATTCTATTCGACAAATACTTATTGAGCACCTATTATGAGTAGAATACTCTGCCAAAAAATGATGTATAGGTTACTAAAGTGTGTAG